ATCTCTTTAATATAATTGAAAAGCATAGTTCATTGGTTAAGAAGGTTCAAAATCTTTGTAAGATTGCTAGTTCAATTCCCATTAGTCACAATTTTCTTTTAATTTTTCTAACTCTTTTCTTTTTCGAACCCTTTAGCAGAAATCATGCCTCCGCACCACGGCATATGGACTAGCTAGGGTAACTTGCACATGTAAAATTAGTACAAGGAAGGGTGACAATATAATAATATAATGTATCTAAAAAATATCTATTGGAACAAGAGAAAAAGGAGATAAAGTTAGATTATATATTCAATTGACACCTTTTGCCTTATCAGTGGTTATTTCATATGTGGTGGCAAAGTTCCATTTCGAATACTCTCTGTTTCCCCTGAAACTTTTAGAGATCCATTTCATAGAATCTGCGAACCACTACAAAAATATATATAAAATCATGGGTAGAGTGGCAAAATCAACTGATCAGTATTCAATAATCCGCTCAAATTGTAAAGTTTATATAACGAGTTAGGTTATGACTCGTTATTTGTTGACTTGACTAATTAATTGGTTGAACTCGAATATACCTATTGGATTATATCGGGTCAGAACGCATCAAAATAGTATTACTCACGACAGATCAAAATGTAATCCAAATCGAAACATACAAAATCAAATGTATGGAGATGGAGAATTATGTAAAACCGAAAGAACTTAACACAAAAAAGAGAGAGGAGGTTGGGTCATGTTGCACGGATTGAGCCATGACCCATTCCTTAATTTGACCCGTTTTAACTAGCTCAAATTTGACCAAACTCGTCCCTTTGCCACCTCAATTCATCCATTCTTTCTTTTCAATATTTTCCAAAAGCTCCTTGGCTCTTAAGACTATAGCCCCTTGCCCAGAGGCGCATGTACTGTATTAATGACAGATTCAATTTGAACCAATAAGTTTCGACACAAAGTTAAAATTTATATATAAATTTTTTGAATCTTTACAGAAATAGTTGACCATATTAATTGTTTATTTTTTCTAGCTATATACATAGATTATATATTGATTATATATAATTATGCATATATAATACATAAATTATGCATATATTATAATTCTATCGACTATTTTTAGTTTAAGTGGTTAACTGGGCGGCTATTTAGATTTCTTCTAAAAATTTATTAAAATTATAAAAATAGAACACATAACTCTAAAAATATAATAAGTTCAATGCTAAAAAACTTAAAAAATGAACCCATAAAGTTTAAATCCTGGATTCACCTGTGTGGCCTCCCTCTATATATACCTCAAAGGAAAGGAGAATCATCTACAAGTATCCTACCCACCAAAGCAAGAATATTGAGAGAGAGAGAGTTAGGAGTTTCTTTAGGGAAATGGCTGAAGCAAAAGGGGTGTGTGCTTGTGTTCTCTTCCTAGCATTAATAATCATCTCCTATGAGATTTTATTGAGTGAGGGAAGAGCCTTGAAAACAGAGAAGAAGAAAAGCTTCACAATAAGCAATGGAGAAAATAGCCAAAGAAAAGTGGAGAACCTCAACTTTGTTCATGATCATAACAATATTCATGTCAATAATGTTTCAGAAGGAGGTCCAGGCCACAGCCCTGGTGTTGGTCATGCAGATGGACCTACATAAAAGAATAGTCTGGAATTTTAACGTCGTGGGTGCTCAACTGCCTGTAATCTAAAATTACTTGCTAAGGTTGGGTGTTTAATCAATAGCTTTCTATATTATTACTAGTCTTCAATTTAAAATGCCATGGAAACAACTTCTCGCAGAAATGCAGATTAAGACTGCGTACAATAGAGCTTGTGGTCCGACCCTTCCCTGAACTCCGCATAGCGGAATCTTAATGCATCGAGCTGCCCTTGTTTAGTGTGTGGGTAAAAAAAATGGTGCTCAAGCACGAGTAACGTTAATGTAGGTCCGCCACTGATAATCCATTACCAAATTGTGTAGAAAATCTTTATACAGTTAATGTGTATAATTAATCCATTTACGTAATTGTGCTTGAATTTATTGGCTTGGAAGTTGGATATAGTAGTATTATTCTCCTTTCTGTAACCTAGTTTAGCTTAGATTGTAGATAAATTAATATTTGTCGTTAGAATATCTCTGTTGTGATTCAAATCATCAGTTTGTAAATTGTCTTTAAATAGTTTTTATCTTACTTTAATTTATTGGTTTGTAAAGTGTAAATTTTAGTATGCCTTAAAGTTTTCATTTAACTGTTTAAGCTTCAAACTGACTCTTATTAATGAATGAGAAAAATAGGATGAAATATATGTTCATGTCTAAGAGCCCGTTTGGATTAGCTGATTTGAAGTAGTTGATAAGCATTAGGTGCTGAAAAATATTTTAAATGCTGAAACTGATTTAATAAATAAGCAATTACATGTTTAGGTACAAATACTGAAATTGATAATAAGAGGGTGTTTGGCTAAGCTTATAAGCTGGTCAAACTGGCTTATCTACGCGTTTGGTAAAATTAAAAGTGCTTATAAGTTAAGTGTTTATAAGCCAAAAATAAGCCAAAAACCCAACTTATCAAATTTCAGCTTATAAGCACTTTATGTTTGACCAAAATATTTACTATTCTATCCCTAAAATACTTCTTTTTACAACAAAACTCTTCGTATACCCAATTCTTTAGCTGTTTATTATTAATTTCAGCACTTTTATCCAAACACGTAACTGCTTATTTTTTAAATCAGTTTCAACACTTAAAGATATTTTTTAGCAGCTAATGCTTATTAGCTACTATAAATCAGCTAAGCCAAACGGGCTCTAAGTTGTTGCAGTATTTGATAAAAAAGTGCTGATAAGCTCCTTTTATGTTAAAATGGCTTAAATAACCTTAGAACTGTTTACACTTATAAGGGCATAATTTCTTCAAAATTTTAGATTCCAGATCGATTCAAATACAAAATATTCTATTTATCATTTTATTTTAAATACAACTGTGCTTACATAAGATAATGTTTATGATAAATATAATTTATTTTATGATAAATATATAATCATTAGTTATAATAATTAATAAATTGACAAAATTCTCAGTAAAAAATAAATCAAAATAGGACAAATTATTTGAAGAGAAACAAACATTGTTTTTATCACCACAACACTTAGAAAGCAATACAACAAAAATTTGATATGTCCTCATTTATTACATACAGTTCAAAGATTAATACACAATCACATAAATATAAATATGCTAAGGAATAGAGAATTTGCTTATCTTAAATAGTCAATGAGAATTGCAGACTTAAAGAGGTGGGGGAGGGCGATTTAGGTTGAACATTTGAGGCAGCGAGTATCGATGTAGGAGTTTTGTTTTAAAAAGGAATATTTTAAGAATAAAATAGTAAAAATCTTGGTCAAACTTAAAGTGCTTATAAGCTAAAAATTCATAAGCTGTGTCACAACAGCTTATGACTTATTTTTGACTTATAAGCACTTTTAACTTTATCAAATACGATAAGCCGAAAAGTACTTATAAGCTAGTTTGACCAGCTTATAAGCTTAGCCAAACACCCTCTAAAACGAAAACAAAGAACAAAAAAAAGAACTATATTATCATCCATCAAAGACCACAAAAGCTAATTGATAATTTCTTATCCGTTAGATTAGAAAATCACCATTGGTTGGCCATTTCTAATTGTAGTTAGTAAAATTTTAAAATCAGAAAAGTCAACACATATTCTTAATTTACTTTATAACTCTTGAGATTAAATTACTTTGTGTGGTTCACGCACCAAGTGTAAGTAAGCATTTTTCAATATGGGAAAGAAAAAAACTTATAGATTTTTCTATTTGGAGTGTTAGTCATTAAAGAGAGCTATTGCATGTGAATGTGCATTATATCATTAATAATTCTTCTATACCTTTTTAGGAGTAAGAGTATTCTAAGCATATCTTATAAAATTCAGTTGACTAAAATCATTCAAATCTATTGATTTATCTCTTTAGATTTTATCAAGAAATCAATAATAATTAATGCTCACAGAAGACATGGATTGAAATTCAATGATCAATCCAAGGACCCATTTAATTAATGCAGTATTTTATGTTAGATAAAATGATGCATAAATCATTACTTCATCTGGTCCAAAATAAATGATTTTTTGGTTGTTTTCACATATATTAAGAAATTCACCTTTTAACATTAATTAGCAATGAAATTGACCATATTAACCTTTATTATCTCTTCACATACACACTTCTAACACATACTCCAATATTAATTGCTCCAAAGACAATGTAGGAAAAAAAATAATTAATTCATTCTTGAAATCTGGAAAAATTACTTATTTTAGACCACAAGAAAAAGTCAAAAAATTATTTATTTTGGACAGGAGGGAGTATTATTATTATCAACTATATAGATAATAAACATTTCATTATTGACTGTAAAACAAACAACAATACCAACAACAAAAAATTTATTGTCATTTCACGAGTGAGGTATAAAGAAAGTAGTGTGAATACATGCCTTATTCCTATTCTCTTAAGATAGAGAGATTGTTTGTAATAGGCCCACGCACAATATGTGTAAAACTAATCTGTAATTTAAACAATTGTAAAAGAAATGTGTTATTTATTTATATGACAAAATTAAAAAGTGAAATAGTAGTAGTGTGTCACTACTTACCAAAAGACTGTCAAATCCAACAATATTCCTACAAGTACTATAAATGGCACTCATAATTTTCTGTCATATCTATCACTGTAAAATCTATCAGAGGTAAAATCAGTAACTGTAAAATCCTAAGGAGGTTAAAAAAGACAAAAAAGATGATAACCCAAAACTGGTGGCCGACCAAATTTATACGAACTGGGTAAAGATTTAGTAAGCAACATTCAGTTCGTATATATCCAAAACATTCTGAAATCAACGGTAGATATTAAATGACCACCGTTTAATCCAACGGCTGATAATTCATACAGGGCTTCACTGAACCCGTCATCCTCCCCCATAAATCCTCTCTTTCTTTTAGCCTCCATCCTCTTTTTCTCTCTCTCAGATTCACCTATACTTACACACTCTATATCTCTATATTTTTATAGGATTATTATTATTATATAAATAAAAAGTGTGTATTTTTACGTGTGTTTTGTTTACTCTAGGGTTTGTTTGAGGTAAAGATGCAGAAGAATAACGGTACTGAATCTCAAGAAAATAAACAACAACCGCCGCCGCAGCCGTCACAACCTACGGCTTCACAGCCACAACAGCAGGGGGTGAGTGGGGGAACGGTTGTACCAGTGGTGGCGGCGCAACAGCAGCCTTGGGTAGCGATGCAGTACCCGGCGGCGGCGATGGTAATGCAGCATCCAATGATGCCGGCCCCACATTATCCGCCACACTACATGCCGTATCATCCACACCACCACCACCATCTCCTCCACCATCACCCGCCGCCGCCTCACTCGCCGTCGCCACACCAGCAGCAAGGTGGAGGAGGATCTAATAATAATAACAACAATGAGAACCGAACGATCTGGGTCGGTGACCTTCTTAATTGGATGGATGAGGATTATCTACGTAACTGCTTTGCTTCCACTAACGAGGTTGTTCTTTTTTATTTTTTCTCATTTCATAAAGATGCTTATTTATATGGTACTCTGTTTTTTTCAACACGTAATTCATGTTTTTTCTAAATGTATCTTGGGTGTTATGTTTTTTCGTTGATTAATTACAGTTGCCAAATGTGAATCTAGACTTATTTAATTAATGAATATATTGAATATTTAGCTAGCTAGCTAGCCGCCGTCACTCGGTTTTAATGTAAAATTTGCGCCTTTTGTTAATTAATTGTACATGTTTTAAATTAGTGGCAGACGTGTTGATATTTTGGAGTAGATTGTTTGCATGCTTAGTCCACGCTTTAGGCTATGTTATCTTCCTTATTAATTAGGGCATAAATTGCAGATTTATCGAAGTTCATATAGTCTTGCCTGCATGTTATCTAGAGAACATATTTAAGGCTAAATTACAGGTTGCATTAAAAAATGGGGTAATTAAGGTAATTATATTATTTTTACTAGTAATTCTAATTTTAGCATATCATTCCTAATAAAGGAGCCTACCAGAAACAGTCTCTATGCCTGGTTCCCAGGTAGAGGTAAGGTTTAATCATTGGGTATGTTGTTGTTGTTGTTGTCTCCAATAAAGGAGACAATGCATCTTGATTTGAGTCAAGAACTCAAAGTTGGCAGCTTCTCTATGACTGCAGGAGGTTAGTTTTGGGATTATTATAAAAAGCTTGTGTTCAAGGTTGAAATTTTTGCTACTGAATCCAAATTTTAGGATCCAGAAAGCTGTCAGCATTCTAAATTTCCTCTTGTTGAAAATTGAAACATGCTTTCGTGTAAATACACATAACCTCTCTGATAATTTTCGTGTAGATACTACAGGATATACACATAATTTTTTGGTCCATATGGATTCATCGTGTAAATCTCTATATAACCTCTCTGATCTGGTTAACATTAATGTTGTTTGAGAGGGCTAGACAATAATGCAGATAGCCAAAAAGTACAAGTTTAACATTGTAATGTCTAAGGTTTCTAGGTAAGTTAGTTGGAAATTTCATGTTATAAAATTTTATTTTCATTTTTGAAGTTTCGAACTTTGGTGTGTCAAAGCTTCTCTAAACTCTCTATTTATGTAAGCTGGAATTTTCTTAAAAATACATGGAGTTATGAGAAGATTATAATATAATCTTCCTTGAACAATTGGGTTGTTTTCAGAAACTCGGTCTTGCTGGAGTATAATAATCTTAACTATGTATTACGTATTAAATTTCCAAGTTCAGCTGTTAATGTCTCTTCAATAAGCAAGTTTAGTGAGGAGATAAATAAAAGCACAAGAATTTTTTTGTTGAAATGTCATTTTTTTCTTCGTTGTTGCCTTTTCGATATGTTTAGCAAAATTTGGATGACAACCATGAAAAATGCTAATTGTATGTAACTATGATGCTATTGAGAACCTTCTGAGAAAGCACTTCCACCTGTCATTCTTTTGCTCATTAGGCTACTCTATACTGAGAACACAGCACACAATAAAGGTTTTTGTCCATGTAAAGAACAGGACAAATCATGCATCCAAGTTAGTGAACATTGATCCACTCTGGTGTTAAAATTGAATATCAAGAAGATACTATTAAGTAATAACAGCACATAGATTCCTGGTAGCAGTTTACGATATATTTATACCTGAAACAGCATCAGCAACTCTTGCATGAAGATGAAAACCATTTTTAATTTTATAATGTATTTGGAGATCAAGTATTGATGCCTGGCTCAAGCCAAACTTGACTCTGCCGTATCGGGGAAAAAAAGGAACGAACTGAAAGTCTTTAATCACATGATTTTCTTGTCAACTGATATGGCTCTTGTTTGTGCAGGTTGCCTCTATCAAGGTAATTCGCAATAAACAGACTGGTTTCTCCGAAGGATATGGTTTTGTGGAATTCTTCACACACGCAGCTGCAGAGAAAGTTCTGCAGACATATTCTTGCATGACAATGCCTAATGTGGATCAACCTTTCCGTCTGAATTGGGCTACATTCAGCATGGGTGACAAGCGAGCTAACAACGGTTCTGATCTTTCCATCTTTGTAGGAGATTTAGCTGCAGATGTTACTGATACCTTACTGCATGAAACTTTTGCGACAAAATATCCTTCTGTTAAAGCTGCTAAAGTTGTCTTTGATGCCAACACTGGTCGCTCAAAAGGATATGGCTTTGTAAGGTTTGGAGATGATAATGAGAGGTCTCAAGCTATGACTGAAATGAATGGTGTGTATTGTTCAAGCAGGCCCATGCGAATTGGTGCAGCCACACCACGGAAATCATCAGGATACCAACAACAATATTCTTCTCAAGGTAATGACCGATGTAGTTTTAGAAATCTTTGCTGGCATAAGTTGTTGATATTCTCTCAAGTTTCTTTTATTTCTGAACAATAAACAGTCACACCGTTGTGAAGGAAAGAAAAACGAGTTGCCTAGTTACATCTTACAGCTGTTTTAACCGTAAAAAGGGTGATAAGGAACTTTGTTCTTACACATTTTCCTTTCACGAATGCTGTGAAGTCAAAAGTTGGTTCTTTCTTCTTTTAATTTTCTAATTTAGTAACTTCTAAAGAGTGTCACTGAATTTGGTTCCTCTAATCAACTTCCCCCTTTGTCTTTGATATTTGTTTACTCTTTCAGAGTGATGATTTGGACATAAAAGTGCCTAGCAATATCGTGCTTCAAAGTCAACCTTGAAGCATGCATGTTTTTCTTCATTCTACATGGTTTAGCTGACAAAATTAATTCTTGAAGAAGAGATAAAAGAGATGAACTCCTTTCTCACTCCAATTAGCAAGAAACACACGCTTCTTTCTTGAGGTTGTGTTTGCAACTGTCATCTTTGTTTGTAACGGTCATCTTTAGGTGAAATTTTCACGATAAAAGTGATTGCTTTAGTTGGTGGCAGTATGTATCAGGTTGTTATTTGGCATGTAAAAGTGAAAGCATGAATGAGATTTCTTGTAACTTGATAAGTCATTTGTGTTTTCTAGAGCAGGAAAGTAAATTAATGTGCTCCCTTCCTTATTAATACATTAGGTTGTGTTTCCAATTTCACTTCATCTGCAGTTTTCCATAAGTTGCAGGTTGTTGGTTGTTTTTCTTTTGCTGTTTTGTCGTAATTATAGTGTCAACTTTCAGATCATGGTTCGTTACTTCAAACAATGACTGTGGATGTTGTGGTAGTCATGTTGATGGTTCTTATGGTATTTAATACTTGCGTCTAACTGCATTTGATAGGTGGATACTCCAACGGTGGACCAGCTCAAGGATCACAACCTGATGCAGATTCTACAAATACAACAGTTTGTTAACTAGTCCATTCTTTTTTCTTTCTTCTTTTTTAATTTTCTAGTCCCTTTGGCTAATCAATATTATCATAGATTTTTGTTGGAGGTCTAGACCCCAATGTCAGTGATGAAGATCTTAGACAGCCTTTCGTGCAGTACGGTGAAATAGTTTCTGTAAAAATACCAGTTGGGAAAGGGTGTGGGTTTGTGCAATTCGCGAACAGGTAGCTTGTTGGTTTTGAGTTTTCTCTTTGTTAGGTATCTTATTAGAGAGTAAATGTTCAGTAACAAATCTCCATAATTTGTTATGCCAGGAATGATGCAGAGGAAGCCTTACAGAAGCTGAACGGAACTTCTATTGGCAAGCAAACAGTGCGTCTTTCTTGGGGAAGAAACCCCGCAAATAAACAGGTATTCTTTCTTTCATCACCTCTTTATCTCTTCTCTGTTGCTTCTTTGAAGTTTTTGTCTTTGGATAAAGTAGAATCTCCAAGACAGCCGAGCAAATGCCTAGGACAAGTCATGAATGCAGTGACTAGCACCAGTCACGTCTCATAGTTACTCTATTATCCAGTATTTGCTTGACTTGAACTCCTAGTTATGCTTGTCGGTAGAAGTAGGAATATCTATTATTCAGTAAGGTTATCAAAATTTTAATTACTGTTCCCTCCCCGTCTTCTGAGAGGCTTTTGATATGTGTAACCTATGATAAATCGTCTGCAACCAAATAAGCTGCTTTGCACTGGATTCTTTTTGTTGCATGACCTCTGTTGCTTCTTTGAATTTTATGTCTGGAGAAAAAAATCTCCAGGACAGATGAACTAATGCTTAGAACTTCTTGTTACCCGTGGCTAGCATCTGTATCTCTCATAGTTATTCTAGTGTCCAACATTTGCTCGACTTACAGAAACTTTAAGTTATCCTTGTTGGTAGAAGTGGGACTATCTATTATATATTGCATACGGTATTGAGAAAGCACTAGGGTGTTGAAATAATATATTGTTGATAATATTATATATTATCAATTTTCTTGCTCCCCCCTCCCCCCCTTCTTCTGAGGGTGGTGGGAGGTTATTGATATGTAATCTCAGACAAATTGCACCTATTAAGATGTTATGCACCAGATTCTTTAACATGTCTCGATCTTTGATTGTATTACTCAATCTCCACCTATGGAATATTGCAGTCGAGAGGTGATTTTGGAAACCAGTGGACTGGGCCATACTATGGGGGACATTTTTATGATGGTTATGGGTATGCATTCCCACCACAGCATGACCCAGGGATGTACGCTGCAGCTGCTGCTGCCTATGGGGCTTATCCAATATACGGGACTCACCAGCAACAAGTAAGCTGAAAGTCTGCACCTGAGTTCCTCTGCTTGAATGGTGAATGTGCTCAATCTCTTTGTTTCAAGCAAGGAATGTGGAATTTAATGATTCCCTCCAAATGAGGAGTGGAACTGAATTTTGACTTGATGTGTTAGTCTCCTAGGGATTCTATTAAACATTAATTTAGAAGTTTGGACTTAGACATGAAACTTCTTGAATGGAATAAATGATCTTACAGTGGCATGTTCTGTACTCAAAAAGCAAAATGGTGCTTGCATCGTACAGGGAAGACCATTCTACTTGATAGAATTTTGAGTTCGGAGTTGAAAGTATGGATAATAAAAGAGTAGTTAGTTGAATGTACGGACACTAAAGTGTATATCAACTCTATACACACGTCTTACGTCTATGTATAGTAATTTGAGCCAAACGTCGCAGGTTCTAAGGATAACAACTGATGGGGAAGTATATAATATTATTATACTGTCTTCAACCAACATCACTTATTAAATGCTTGGTTTTGCGCACCTGTTAACAAGAGAGGACATCTTATTGTCTTCAACCTATTTGCTGTAAGGATATAATTTCACTCAGCGATATGCATCACATAGTTTCAGAACTCAAATTTCACGGATGAGCTCCTCTTTTTTCATTTTTCCAGTGATTTACGTTAGTAAATAAATAAAAATGAAAAAAATGAACTCAGAACAGAAGTAGAATTAGCACAATATACTGTGCGGATGACCACCTAAGTCGCTTTTGGTGGAGTGTAAGTATTCATTCATTCTTAATTATAGATTTCAGATTTGATTTCAAATTTTTCTAGGAATGGAGTCGCTTAACTAGGGAGTGTTTTACCCCAAAGAAGGGATGTATATGAATCTGGTTGGTTTGATTATTATCAAAATCAAACCAAATCAACTTATCGGTTTGGACTGGTTCGATTTTGTCGGATTTTTAGGATTTTTTCGGATTTTTTATTACTTAAGTATTACTTCAATTACTTCATTAAATTTTTTATAAGTAAACATATATTTGGTAAAAATTTTAAAAAGAAAAACATATTATTTGTTAAAATATTCTTATGGGAGAATTTTCTTAGTAATATGTAATAATTATTTTTTTAGTCGACAATAATTTTTCATTGATGTATACTTTCAAGTTTAATCGAATTTAGTAATTAAACATAAAAATCAATATGATACCTAAATAATAATAACCATTTCAAATTCGAAAAAGATATAAAAATTTAATAGATATTGACATATAAATATGGAAGAACAAAGAGATTGATGCATTTCAGTACGTAACATTTGAAAAGAAAGTGATCATACAACCTATTATTTAAGATTAGTAAATATGGAGCACTTCATATTCTATTAAATATTATATCCCATAAGATAATCCCAAATATTTCTTGATATTTTTTAAAGAAAATTCTATATAAAATCTTAAACGCATATAAATAATTATATATTTATATGTCGGTTTGGTTTGTATTTTTTACTCAATACTAAACTAAATCAAACCAAACCTAGTCGATTTTTCTAATCCGTTTGATTTGATTTTTCGGTTTGGTACGGTTTTTCGATTCGGTTTGTACATCCTTACCCCCAAAGTAGAGCTTTCTGATGCGAATCCATACTAGTCTAGTCGTAAAATAGGTATCGGACATCAAACTGAAAATTAAAAAAACAAAAGAAAAGAATGCGAATGGAGGAATAATTGGTGCAATGCAATGACCTTCATCCGGCAACAGGGAAAAAAGAATTACCACACCGGTTAATTATAAATCAATTGCTCTATATTTTACCACACATAACGCACTAATTGTCATCACAATGTGGTATCATGAAACAACACCCGTTAAGAGTGTGTTTGCCATGAATTCTGGTGATAAAAATATGCACACCCACCATAGGTGCGTTAGCATTTCAATTGAGGATTTGACAATGAATTCTACGGGGAACACCCGAAGTGCCCATCCACCATGGTTGGGCTATAATTTTTTACAGTTATTTTCTTATTGTTAAAAATTTATATAGTTTTATGTAATTTTACAATAGTGGTTTAGAAAATAAACAGCGACGGCAAGCTATTCGTATAATTTTTTTATTTTTAAAATAAGAACAATTTATATAGTTTATACTCTCAAAACGAAGAAAACAATAACTACTACAATGGGTTTAATTGTTCATTTATTCAATTTTATTATGAATCTTCATTTCAACAACATCGTCACGTGATTAGACGTATCTAATAACAAACATAATTATTGTGGCGCCTTCCCGAAATTCTTTGGAATGACGACGTAAGGCTAAGCAACTGATGTCAGTGCATTTACTATCCGTCAACTGAGGTCCCCTCCGTACGCTAGACAAAATTGTCAGTGCCGGCGTACGGAAAACCAATGTCAAGAGCAATTGAGAGAACATAAATGAGAATTGAGAATGAAAGAAAGCTTGATTGCATTAGTGAAAGCTATTACAGAAAAACAACATGGTGCCGAGGGGTAGAGACACCAGTACAGAGAATTGCTTGCTTGCTATAAAGTTTGATTATTTGATCCCCCCTAATAGTGCATAAAAAAAATAAACCAAAGTTACAATATTGGACCTAACTGAGCTAGAGGAACATAATGGAAGTACATGAAATAAAACTACTCTATATTTACAATGAAAAGGACTTAGTTTTCTCCAAGGTAGAAACAGGTCCGTTGTCAGCAACCTTATCTTTGGTATCACAATTTGCGCGCGCGGCGCTGTTGGCATCTGCTTGCGGCTGGGCGCTGGCGAGGAATATCAGAGGGGCGACAGAGGCACATGCGCGCTTGTCACGTGGCGCGACCAAGACTACGGGGCCGCCCGTGGCGCTAGGCGTTGGGAGGCTTACTAGGACGTCACGGGGCGCGTCCAAGGGGTCATGAGGCATGGCTGGAAAGCCGCCCAACATTCTGCCCTACCTGAGTTGGCGACGTCCTCGACGCCTTACTTGCAAGATAATCATCAATTAGGCTCTTGAAGGCTTTGAGGTTTGTTCCCCTCTCCCAAGTATTCTCCTCTGCATCAAAGCCCTGCCATTTCACCAAAAACTATTGGTGATCTTTCCTTGAGGCGTGAATCACTCTATTATCAAGAATAGCTTTCCTCGTTGAATTAGGGCCTTGAATACTTGGTATTGTGAGTTGGTTCCGTGAAGGATCCTCCATGTATTCCTGAAAAGGTTTCAGAAGACTGACATGGAAGACAGGATGGATTTTCGACCATGCTAGGGTATCCACCTGGTATGCAACTTTCCCAATGCGCCTTTCAATGGACAAGGGTCCAATGTATTTTTGTAATTGGCGATGGACCCCCGCAAACAAGTATCGCTTTGGAATTTTGACCATCACTTTGTCTCCTACTTGGAATTCAACAAAGCGACGATTTTGATCAGCATGCCTCTTCATCCACTTTTGGGCTTTGATAAGACAGCTCCCCACTATCTCCAAATTTTTCTTCCATTATTTTGAGAAACTAGTAGCTCGAGGAGATTTTGACATGTTTGGTGCATTCACGGTATGGGAGTAGCGGTTGCTGTCCGGTAACAATTTCAAAAGCGCTTTTGTTTGTGCTAGAGCTCTTTTGTGAATTGAAACACAATTGAGCATCCAGTTCTTCTGCGATCCGGTTACAAAGTGGCGAAGATATTCCTCCTGTGTGCCATTGAACCACTCCGTCTGGCCATCAGATTGTGGATGAAAACTTGAGTTATCCTCAGTTTTGACCCGAGGCACTTAAAGAGTTGGGTCCAAAAGTTGCTAGTGAAGCGCGAGTCGCGATCACTAATAATGTCTTTAGGCAGGCCCCAATATTTGAAAACATGAGAGAAGAAGAGTCGAGCTGTATCCTCTGCTGAGATGTATTGTGGGGCTGCAATAAAGGTAGCATACTTGAAAAACCGATCCACCACAACCAAGATAGTTGTGAGATCTCTGTCCTTGGGCAATTTGGTGATGAAATCCAGGGAAACATTTTCCCAAGGTCTCTTTGGGACAGCTAGTGGTTCCAAGATTTTTTCTTGTGTCAGACAATTTGACTTGTCCTTCTGGCATACTAGACAAGTCTTCACATACTGAGCAACGTCATCGGCCATTTGAGGCCAATAATATGCACGACGAAGTAATGCCATGGTGCGGTCTTCACTAGGATGGCCGACCCACAAAGTATCGTGACATTCCACCAGAAGAGTCTTTACAGATCTCCTCCTTTAGGAACATAAAGTCGGTCTGATTTCACTTTCAGGAAACCATTTTCTATATAGAACTGGAAAGTCTTGCCTTGTCCTACCAAATCGACCAAATACTGTGCAGTAGGATCTTTCATGAGTAGATCCTGTATCTAGCCTTTGATGTTTGTGGCTACTTTGCTCCCTATTAGGGTGGCCAGTGGGCACACTGATGCTAGATCAGCTCTCCGACTGAGCGAATCAGCAACATGATTGGTCTTCCCACTTTAGTACTCCAAGTTGAAGTGGAATTCCGCTATGAGTTCCCGCAACCTAGCTTGTCGACCATTCAGCTTTGGCTGGGTCATGAAATGGCTAACAACTGTGTTGTCTGTCTTGACCACGAATGGGGTTAACAGCAGATAGTGCCTCCAAAGACATAAGTAATGGACGACAACCAATAATTCTTTTTCGTGGGCAGTATAGCGCCACTCTGCATCCTTCAGCTTCCGGCTCTCGTACGTTACATGATGCCCTTCTTGTAGAAAGACTCTGCCAAGGGCATAGTCAGAGCCATCCGTTTGTACCTCGAACGGCTTGGCCAAATCAGGGAGGGCCAAGACGGGGCTACTAGACATAGCCGCTTTCAATGCATTGAAGGCCTTTGCTCGCCTGGGTCCCCAATCTCAAGGCGTGACCTTCTTGAGGAGTTTTGTCAATGGCACTGCAATGAGGGAGTAGTTTTTCGATAGAAGTTGCATACCAAGAAACACCCTCAAGGCGTAGATATCCTTAGGCGGCGGCCAATCTGTGATAGCCTGGATCTTTTGTTGGTCTATCTTGATTCGCCTTTCCTCGATTACATGTCCGAGGAAGTCAAATCTATTTTTGAGCAAAGGAGCACTTGGACAGCTTCGCATATAGTTCGTGCTCCCGCAATCAGGCTAGGACCTTCAGCAAGTGCTCCAGGTGTTCTTCAAGTGTTTGGCTGTATACCTCAATGTCATCCAAGTAGACCACCACAAATTCGTCAATGTACTCTCGGAAGACTTGGTTCATCAGGGTGCAAAATGTGGCTGGAGCGTTAGTTAAGCCGAACGACATAACCAGGAAGTTGTACGAC